GAGGTCCTGTTTTGGAGAACAAGCTGGCCATGGTGGTACAGGCCTGTGATCTCAATTATGCGGTAGACAACCCTGGGAAAAAGCTGAAAGCCCTATCTGAAAAACTAAAGAAAAAGGATTGGGGGTGTGGCTCAAGTTGTAAGAGTACTTGTTTAGCAAGCATGAGGCCCTGAGTTCAAACTCCATACTGCAAAAAACTCATAAGCAAACAAAAACAAAGGATTATTATTATTTTGTGAATATACTTTTCTTTAGGAATTGTTTTGCTCATTAATTTCAAAGGATCTATGGCTCAGATTTTAGATTTTATGATTTTCTGTTTATTTGCTCTGAAGCTGGTAAGCTTAAGTATGTTTACAAACTAAATTTTATCTAGAATCCAAGTGAATAGAAAACTCAATGTTTTTTTAAAAAAGCATCAAATATTGGTAAAAGTCCTAGAATTGTATGGGAATATAAATAAAGCTCATACACTAAGAATTTTATTTGTATATTTGTTTTGTAGTGCTGGGGATCAAAGCCAGGGCCTATTGCATGCTAAGCAGGTGCTTTACCACTGAACTATGCCCCTAGACTTACTATGAGCTTTTAATAGAACTTTTTGGTTAGATGAGAAAATTTAGATTGTGTGCAGTGTTCTATTTTTGTAAAGATTATTTTTCTCCTTGTTTTGTTTACCCCTATATCATAGTCCCAAAAAAATTACTAGTCATATGTACACCTTTTCGAAAGACAATGTAGTTCTCTGGGTATAGATTTGAGTTTGTCTTCTACATTTACATGCTTCCAAAACCAAAGGTCATGTACCTAGTCCATCGCAGCTTCGAGTTCAGTGTTAATGATGTCCAGTCCAGATGCAATGAACGTTTTGCAGTGGGTCTGTGGTTCATCCTTTTCCACATGATGACATACATTTTACTCCAATGGTACATTCAGGTAGTGAATGAATTGTAATCAAATGCAAGCCACTGTTTTATTTCCACTAATTAATGGCCCAATCTAAGGACTTTTTTTCATTGTCTGCTCAAGAATTCACCTTGTTTGAAATCCATTGGATGAGGCATTAGTTTCACTCTCAGGGAGTCATAGCTTATTTACAGTAAGTATAGCAAGGACACTTTCTTTGAACTAGTGTCATGAATTTGTTTCTTTGGTTTTGGTCTATATATCTTAGTATACATGGTTTCAAATTATTGGACACTCACTATGAGTTAGCCATTATTAAGAGGTCATCTCATCAGCTGACCATTGCAACAAACTTAGGACCTAGGTTCTCATTATCCATATTTCTCACCTGTGGGATGGACACTTTGGGAAATGAGGTCAGGAGTTTTAAGGAGCTAGTTCACCTGGGTGGTCACTCTCTCCAGGTTCTGTCCAAGTGACACATGGAAGCATAAAACATAATGTACAGCCACTTTCTACAATGGAGAAGCAGCTATTCTTCCCAATAACTATTTTTGTCTTGACATTTTCCACTCACTTAGAAGTTGTGGTTTTGCTTCATTTCCATATCTCCTGGTGAGAAATCTCATAACCAGTGGTCATGTGGTTTCAACAAATCATAGTAGTAATCCTCAGCTATGACCAAAAAGTCTTCATTTTTGTGTTTCCTGTATGTAAGTCAAGTCCTATAGTTTTTCCTTACGAGAGTTTCAGTTCTGAATGAACTCAGTGTTTCCCCAAATTCTAGTCCAGAGCTAAATTACTAACATTCATGAAGTTGAACACTTGTTATTGGTAAGGAGACAACTAGACACCCTGTCCTATTATGTGGATTGTTAAGGATTGTAAGGATTAAAGTTATTTATATCCTAATAAGAAAATGTCTGACTGCATATGCTTTTACAGATTGGCAAAGACGGCTTTCTAGTTGGCATTTAGTCAACAAACAGCATCCTGAAATTGATATTCTTCAAAGCACTTCAATCTATTGATAACAAACCCTTTCCCAAGAGATTTCTGAGAGTTTCCCCTCTGATACAGCCAGACTCACTCTGCTAACAGTCTGTCTGAGAACTTCTGGCAGTTTGCTTTTATAAAATGGGAGGGGCAGGGTCCAATTTAAATATGTAGAACCTCAGAAGTTTGGTTCAAATTCAGTCATTTCAAAGTGGCAGTTCTTCTGACTTGCTTGTGCTCAGAAACAGGAGGAGTTATTTGAACATTAAGTCTGGTTCTCTCCCTTCCTGTTGTTTTTAAGCTTATTTTAGCTCTCTGGGTTTTACCTTTCCCAGCTTAAGTCAATAGCAGTGGGAGTGGCCATGAACTTAGGGATATTGGATTCTAAAGATGGGTTGAATTTCTGCCTTCACCGTTCCCTTCCCATGATAGAGAAGGCATGGGAGAGTCAAAAACATCACTTTCAGATGACTGTGAAAGTTCCTGAGGCTGGGCTTGTTTGAATTTAAACCTGATGTTAGTAAAATCCTATTTTCCAGAATGAAAACTCATACTTTCTACCTAGTAAAATTACTTAAATCTAGAGGAGTAAGTTTACTTTCTGTAACTCCTTAAGTCCTTAAATTTTAATAGTGCATTTAAGAAGGTATTTTCATCCAGGCACTGGTCAGGCAGGTGCTCTTGAGCCTTCCACTAGCCCTTTTTGATGTTGGATATTTTCAAGATAGTGTGACTTGAACTTTCTGCCAGGGCTGACTTTAAACCGCTATCCTCCTGATCTCTGCCTCTGGAGTAGCTAGGATTATAGGCGTGAGCCACTGGTGCCCAGCATGAAGGATAATCTTGATTCAATCCAACTAGTAAAGCCAGACAGGAGGGCAGAATAATGGAAACCGTGCCATGACTGATGTCCCAATCATGTAATTCATCCTGTGGGTGGGGATATCAAACTGGGTTACCACATTTTGATTCTGGCACATGCAGCAGAAAAGGACACTGTCCAATTAGTAATCCTTGTGAGGATGTTGTCTTAATTCATTTTCTGTTGCTGTATCAGAATATTTGACACTAGATGATTTCTAAAGAAAAGAATTCAGTTCAGTTAGTGAGACTGCACATGGCAGCAGCATCTAGCAGAGGCCTACATACTGCATCAGAAAATGATGGCAAAGAAGGCCACAAAAACAAGAAGGCAGCCTCACTTTGTAGCAACTTACCCTCATGGTATCTAATCCAAACCCACAAGAAAAAGAACTTAGATGCCCTTGAGGATTAACACAGTCCTGAGAGCACCATTAAGCTCTTCATTAGGATTCTACTTCCTAAAAGCTTTCTACCACCTCTCAACTGTTCTTACACTTGGGAATCCAATTTCAACATGAGTTTTTGAGGGCATAAACCATTTTCAAACCATAAGCAGATAGGAAGGTGGGGACATTCTGTTTCTAAGTCTGGTTATCTCTGATGTGGAGGCAGCTCTGTAAACAGGTGTAATTCACCTGGCCTTTGCCAGCTGTCTTTCATTCCTCAACGATGAGTAGGTGACTTAATCTGACTGGTAAGTACAGAAGGAGCACTGAGTAGCCCAACTTCTCCCCACTGTTTTCTGGAAGTGGGCTACCCCCTAAGAAACAGACATCAGCCATACTCTTTTGAAAAGACATACTGTGTATCTGCAGGAGGAAGCTAGTCCCATTTAGATGCTATCTGGGACTAAGTTCTGTACTGGGAAACAGAATTGTAGTGCCCACTTCTCCACAAATGTAACTGGGTTCCCTCATCTGCTATATTCTTTTGTTTTAACTTTTTTGTTTTTGGTGGGACTGGTGTTTGAATGAACACAGGGCTTCATGCTTGTAAAGCAAACTCTCTAGTGCTTGAGTCACAACTTCAGTCCATTTTTGCTCTGGTTATTTTAGAGGTGGGGTCTTGCCAACTATTTGCCTGGGTTGGCCTCTAACTGCAAAACCTCCTGATCTCAGCCTCTCAACTTGTTAGGATTATAGGCATGAGTCGCTTGCACCCTGCCTGTTTTAGCTCTTCAATTGGTTCAGAAATCAGAAAGTACTATTTACAACCCTTCCCACTATGGCCTTTCATAGAAACATCTGTTAGAGGTGCACAGATGATTTTCTTTAACTTGGATTTGATTTGGTTTCAGAATTGCTTGTTTTGGCCCTTGATTGTTTTTAAGCATAATGACAGGCATTTGTAGAATAACTTTAGGTGACTTGCATTTTCTTTCCCCTCCCTTCCTGCAGTACTGGGATTTGAACTCAAGGCCTACACCTTAAGCCACTGCATCAGCCCTTTTTTTGATGTATTTTTTTCAAGATAGGGTCTCAGGAACTATTTGCCTGGGTTGGCTGTGAACTGCAGTCCTCCCGACCTCTGCCTCCTGAGTAGCTAGGATTACAGGCATCAGCCACTGGCACCCAGCTTAAATATACTTTTAAACCTAAAGGCTGGATGAACAGTTCATGCTCTAGTATAACATATTCTGAAAGCTCGTGCTATGTCCCTTCCCTGCCTTATGCGATACCATTCACTAAGCCTAGGTCATGTGGAAGTCTTGCTTCAGAACTACACAGTTACCCTGAAAGAGGATTTCTGTCCTTTATTCACTATCTTAAAATGGGTAGGAAATCCCTGCTATGTATATCTTGTTTAAGTATATCTTGTTTTTAACACTGATACAGATTTTATTTTTAATTTTTCAGATCCAAGGAACAAATTGCTTAAAAGCCTTATTTAAGGCAATTAACAACAAAAAAGACATCTAGGTGACTAACCATCTTAGTTTTCCAGGATTGGGGTGTAACCTGGGACACCAGATTTTCATTGCCAAAATTTGGAACATCCTTGCCAAACTGGAACAAGATGTTTACCTTACAAATCATTCCAGCTAGCAATGGCATGAACTTAAATATTGAGCCCACTGAAAAATAAGCTGTTTGATATGATGTAACAAACCATCTCCTCCTGCTTACAGTCCTGAAGTCTTATGAGAACAAAGCTGAGGGCATGGTGTATATGCCCAATTTTGACTATATAAAGTACATCGCTGTTCTCTTTTCATTAATTAATTTTCTTTGTAGGTATGTGATTCAGATACCATGCTTGACCCTGCCTCATCTGTGGAGATGGTGAAAGTTTTAGAAGAAGACCCCATGGTTGGAGGTGTTGGGGGAGATGTCCAGGTGCATATGCTTTGCTGTTTGCATGAGACACTTTTGGTAGCACTCTTAGTCATGGATTCACTGAATTATTTATTACATATCAGCTCTGTGCCAGCTATCATTCTTGGTGCTAGATACACATTAACATGTGCCTAGGATCCATTTCACTGCCTCTTTTCCCATCTAAATTGAAATAACATAAAAGTTCCTTGTTTAGTCCTGGTAACTTATGTCTGTAGGGTCTTATAAGTTATATACAACATAACCTAACTATGTAATGATGTCAAACACACATTATCGGGCCATAACTTAATATTAATGTTCTGCTAAGTCTGATGTTGTACGGAGTTCATTTAGTTACAAGAGTAAAGAAATAGATGTATGATAGGGAATGAATTATCTTATACCTCTCTATTTAACAGCTGGCCAGTATATGGTTGGTTAAAGAATGCAAATTGGAAAACAAAGGGAGAAAAGAGAAATGACAATGACAATTTATGCTAGGAAGAAAGACACATACACACACACACACACACACACACACACACACACACACACACACACACACCCACCAGCAAGTGAGTTTTCCATCATGACCCATCATTTACTATCAATGGAGAAACAGTTATTGACGTTTTAATGAAGGTAATGGAAGCTTGTGGATGGAGAAATGAGTGTGGAAATTAAGTCTTTTGAAAATTTGAGTTTAGATTTTAACAAAAGATGGGGAGCATATAGAAAATTCACCTTGAAGTTTAGATTTTGTGTTGCTTTATAACCCGTGCATGTTGACAGTGACAGCAAAGAAATTGCATAAGGAAGGACAAACATAAATGAAGCATGCAAAATTCAAATGAAAGCTGAATAAAAGTGAGACGGAGAAGATGATTTAGAAATACTGCTAAGATAAAGCTTGTACTTTTCAGTAGCCTTTGCATGAAGCATTAGTTCAGGATCAGATTTCTATGAGGAGGTCAGAGCAAACTCTTATCACTGGCATTACAAAACAGTGTAGAGAATGGAGAAGGAAAATTAACAGTCAAGGATTGGATAACTTGGAAACTAACCAGAACAGAACTGATTAGGACTTAAAAAGACCTACAAATCTTAGATGGTAGCAAGAAGACAGTAAGTAGAAAATAATACTCACCATTAAAAGGATCCTAACACATACCCTGAACTAATCAGGTTAATTTAGCAATGCAGAATAAGAGAAAATAAGTATATCAAACAGAGGAAAGAACTCAAAATAGGGGGATAAGGTAATAAATTTCATGCTAGGTAGTAATCTCAGGGCTCTCGAGGGTTTTTTGTTTTTTTTTTTTTAGCTAAAACTTACTTTCATTTTTTTTTACCTTTTTTTGCAGATTTTAAACAAGTATGATTCCTGGATCTCCTTCCTCAGCAGTGTAAGATACTGGATGGCTTTTAATATAGAAAGGGCCTGCCAGTCTTATTTTGGGTGTGTCCAGTGCATTAGTGGACCTCTGGGAATGTACAGAAACTCCTTGCTGCATGAGTTTGTAGAAGACTGGTATAATCAGGAATTTATGGGCAACCAATGTAGTTTTGGTGATGACAGACATCTAACGAACCGGGTGCTAAGTCTGGGCTATGCCACAAAATACACAGCTCGATCAAAGTGCCTTACTGAAACACCCATAGAATATCTCAGATGGTTAAACCAGCAGACCCGATGGAGCAAGTCCTACTTCCGAGAGTGGCTGTACAACGCCATGTGGTTTCACAAGCATCACTTGTGGATGACCTATGAAGCGGTTATCACTGGATTCTTTCCCTTCTTTCTCATTGCCACAGTAATTCAGCTGTTCTACCGGGGGAAGATTTGGAACATCCTCCTTTTCTTGTTAACTGTCCAGCTAGTAGGTCTCATCAAATCATCTTTTGCCAGCTGCCTTAGAGGAAATATCGTCATGGTCTTTATGTCTCTCTACTCAGTGTTATACATGTCAAGTTTACTTCCTGCCAAGATGTTTGCGATTGCAACGATAAACAAAGCTGGGTGGGGCACATCTGGAAGGAAAACCATTGTTGTTAATTTCATAGGACTCATTCCAGTGTCGGTTTGGTTTACAATCCTCCTAGGCGGTGTGATTTTCACCATTTATAAGGAATCTAAAAAGCCATTTTCAGAATCCAAACAGACTGTTCTAATTGTTGGACCTTGCTCTATGCGTGTTATTGGGTCATGCTTTTGACGCTGTATGTGGTTCTTATCAATAAGTGTGGCAGGCGGAAGAAGGGACAACAGTATGACATGGTGCTTGATGTATGATCTCACATCATTTGGTGTTTGCAGTTACACACACCTTAGTTCCTCTAGGGGCTATCCAGTATTGTGGCATCAATTAGTGCCACCAAGGGAGACATATCACTGCTGCTGGGACTTGAACAAAGACATTTTAAGGGTTTATTGATTCTGCCAAAGTAAAATGATAACATCGATAAGAACTCAGATTTAACCTGTCATTTCTATGAAAATGGGATGAAATCTTTGTTTATGCACTTTTTCCTTCCTGTGCATCTGCCTGACAGTGTTTGCCCTATATACCTCACTAGTCATGCTTTATGTGGGTTATCATGGAAGAAAAGGTTTTGGAATCTCAAGGAAAAGTTTTTTCAACCTATACAACCTAACTTAATGGACTGTTTTGATAGCTAATTTTTTTTAGGAAGACTTTTCTCTTTAACTCTACCAAATGAAATGCCAAAGGAAATCTTGAAAGCCGTTGGCTGTGTTGTATTTTGATATAATTGTACTGTGTTTTTAAATTTTGTACACCAATTTTTAAAACAAATTTTTCATATTCTATATTTTACTTCTCCACCAAAATCCATCTTTTCCTTTTTTTTAAATAGTAAAATAGGTTTTGAAAAAAATTTCATACTTAAAAAAATACCTGCCCAAAATGTGAAGCTTGGTTGACTGATAGTCCTGATAGAAAGAATAAAATGTTTCTCTCTCTCTTTACCTTTTACAATTGAATAGTTTATTTCTGTGAAAAAGTATTTAAACATTCAATATTTTAACTTTTTTTCCTTTCTTTTAGAAAATGTCAATATACTTGTCATACTTTGGGAGTAAACATACATGTTTATGTATGTACAAAAAAACCATTAAAAGTCAAGGCCGAAGGGGTAGAAAAGTGCAATTTTTTCATAAGACTAAAAGGGAATGCTAGTCCTTGAAAGAAGACACTAGGCACCCAGCACTGGACAAACGTGAGCATCAGAGATGAATAGTATTGGAGAGATTCAGTATTTTCCAGGCCAAGTAAAATGGGAAGTAGAAAAGTTATACATAGTTTGGACAAATACAATGCAGTTCATCAAAGGTTTTGTTCTGCGGCCTTAACTCATTCACCTACTTTTCTCAGCTTTCCAGGCCACCTTGCATGTTCGCGATTACATGGGTGAAGTGAATAAATTATAATATAAGTAAGACATCAATTCAAAATTGGCAGATTTAAACTCTTTCAAGGAAAGATTTTTTTCAGAATTAGAGGATTAATGACTCCATCTTTCTTGTTCTAGGCCTCCATAAATACGTCTACACAGTAGAAACAGTACCAAGGTTTAATAAGTGCATCACAAACTGGGTACTCTGAACACGCCCAATTTAGTTACTGCAAGGCTTCAATTATCCAATTTGACTTTTTACACCATGAGTCTTGCCTTGTAGCAGTGCTGTGTAGACCCGGGTTAAATTCACAATAAGAACACATAGGGAGTTGGGATAGAAAGCATTGTGGTGAAGCAAGGACACACGTGTCAAACAATGTGCTTCCTTCCTATACAGACAACTATGTTACATCTATCCTAAGAAAAAGCTGCACATTCTACCTTCTGCGTACAAAAGGTCCATTTGCATTTGAGCTCAGGCTCTCACTGACTGGGGAGCTCCTGGGAAACAAACTCCATGCCAATAAGTGAGACTAAAACTTGAGTTTGCCTTTTTAACTATTTATGTTCTAAGTTAAGCTTTGATAACATTCAAATGTCAAATTTTCTCATTCTTATAAAAAGTTGAATTAATTGCCTGTATTTATTTTAGCAATTATTCAATGTACTTCCAGTATAGGATGTATAGTATAATTGATTGTTTTGTAAATAAAATATTTTTGATAAGATTATTGCCTTTGTTTCTAAGGGAAGGGGGAGCTATTTTCCTGATTGTAATGGTATGAATTTAATAATGGGGTATATAGAAAAACATGGATGGTGAAAGATGTCATTTAATGGTATTTTCATTAGGTAGAGATCCAAAAGTTGCTACTTTTAGTGTCATTTATGGGTGTTAACATATCTGGTTTTAATTAAGCTTATTAAGTATCCATTGTGGATACTTCTGGAAAAAAGAAGACAGACTTGAGACAGACTGTCAACTACCAATACCTTTTCTTGTCTCTCTTACCTCAAAAGCAGCCCACGTTTTGACAGAATACTATGATAGTATTTTATCATCAGGGAAAATCAGTTAAAAATTATAATTGTGGAATTTTTATAAATAATTAAAAACTTAAACCTTAAAATACCTTAAAATTGAATAATGAGGGCAATGATTAAATAAACTATGGTACTTCCAAGCAATGGAACCTTGCTACCCATTAAACACAATGTTCTCAGACAATCTATGAGTATGTTGTCACACTTAAAAATATATAACCATTTGTTTCGTAACATCCCAACTTTGTAAAGACAAAGGTGTTTAAATGTGGTTCTCTCATACTGGGAATATGACCAATTTATATTTGTATACATTTTTGTAGTCTCCAAATATCATAAACATGTACTGCTTTTATAATCAGAAAAAGTATAATAAATGCTTTTTTTTTAAAGTGGGTTGGAACATCTAATAGCGTTTCCTGGTTTGAGGAACTTTGGTTATTTATCCCAATTTACCCTAAAATTCCTCTTGCTTCTTAATTCTTATTGGTTTCTTTGAATCCTTCATTACTTAGGTATTATGACATCATCAACCACAGCCACTGAGCATTACCGCCTCAGTGGACGACACAAATACTTGCTTCTAGCCCCAGGAATTCACTGATAGATTTACTTGGTATGATACTAAGGGTTTGAATGCATGGTCTACACTTTGACACCTTGAGCCACTCCAGCAACCCTTTTTTGTGATGGGTTTTTTTGAGATAGGTCTCATGAACTATTTGCCTAGGCTGGCCTCAAACTATGATCCTCCTGACCTCTGCCTCCTGAGTAGCTAGGACTATAGGTGTGAGCCACTGGTTCCTGGCTAAGGGTTGACAATCTTAATGTGAAGAGACAGTGTACATTTCAGGTTTTGCAGGCCCTGTAATCTGCTATATGAGTCCTCAACTCTGCTATCCTGGCACAAAAGCCTCTGTGTGAACAGATGAATATGTGTGGCTGTGCTCCAATAACACTTTATGGGCACTGAAATTTGAACTTTACATAATTATCATGTTATCCTTGAGATTTTTCAGACATTTAAAAAAATAAAAAGCTATTCTTACTTAGTTCATCAGCATTACCATAGCAGTGAATGGACCAGATTTATCCTGCAGGCCTATTTGTTCTGTTGACGTACTTGTACCATGAAATGCACCTTTTTTTTTGTTTTATTTTTGAGTATGTACTGTGGTTAGGTATGGTCAGGCGTATGTTTTATAGGTCAACTTTTTGTTTCCATATCGGTCCCAAAGGATTCCATTATTATTGTCAATTTTTTTATAGGCAAGGAAGCTGGGCTTAAAGAAATGTGATAACTTAAGATCCTAAATCAGGGCTGGTGGAGTGACTCAAGTGGTAGAGTGCCTTTCTGGCAAGCTTGAGGCCTTGAGTTCAAACCCCACTATTAGAAAAAAAAAGAAAGAAAAGGAAAAGAAAGAAAGAAAAGAAAAAAACCTTAAAGCCAGTAACTTGTAGTGGTAGAATTTTATGTTCAGACATCCTGACATTAAGCTTTTCCCCTTCCTTGTTTTTTCTTTTTTTTTGAGATAGGGTCTCGCAAGCTCTTTGCCAGTCTGGCTTCAAACCTCCAACCTCCTGATCTCTGCCTCCTGGATAGCTTGGATTACAGGCGTGAACCACTGGCGCCCTGCCCCTAGTGCTGCTCTTTATGTTGTCCACAGTCCACCTGCATCTGGGAACTTATTAGAAATGAAAGTAAATCACCCTACCCTACTTGTACTGAATCAAGATCCAGGTAATCTAATAGTATTTCTTGGGACAGGTCAATAAGATACCCAGGTGACTTTTATACACATTAAATTTGGAAAAGCATTGCTCTGTTTCAAGATCTTATACTGTTCCCCTGCAAGTGAGTGTCAGTTCCACTCAAATATTTGTATTTTCCTATTGCACTCTCTGCTTTTGATATTATTTATGGGTGTAGGCATATATCTGGTTTTAATTAAGTTTATTAAGTACCAATTATGGCCAAGCAGTGACAAAGCATACATAATGTCTATACTCAAAATGCTTTTGAGTAAGAGGTCCATGGTAACTACATATAAGGCACAATAACAGTTGTAAATAGTAGAATGTGATATAAAAAGAAGCAATGAACATGTACAGTTAGCTCTGTAAAAGCTGGCTAAGAAAGTGTGGTGTTTGGGTTGATTTTTGGTTTTTTTGGTGGGTCTGGGGTTTGAACTCAGAGCTTCCTACTTACAAAGCAGGTGCTGTATCACTTGAGCCACACTTCCAGTCCATTCCACTCTGGTTATTTTGGAGATGGGGTCTAGAAAACTATTTATCCTGTCTGGCTTGAATCTAGATCCTCCCAATCTCAGCCTCTCAAGTAGCTAGGATTACAGAAGTGAGCACCAGTGCCTGGCTTGTACTGATTTTTTTAAGGATGTGCAAATGGATGGGAACTAAGGAGTTTCCAGAGGGAGAAATGGCGTGATTAAAGAGGTATGATTTTAATAGGTGGTCCTTTATATCTGAACTAATAAATTTAATTATGGCACGAGTTGGGTTTAGCCATGAAGTAGGGCATAACTATAGAAAGTAAATTAGGATGACTCTTACCCAACTGGGAGAAGGATGAGAATGAGGTATGGCATGGTTTTGAACATTCCATGTATACAATTATGTTTATAATTATGATTTGGTCTGAACAGGCTTAAGATTACCTGGTGGTGTTATTCCAGTCATTTGACGATTTTGGTGTGTTCCTTCCCACTGGGCCTCCTGCTGTACATCTTCAGTTAACTAATGGCATCACATACTGTTGACTAACCAAGTAGTATCTTCAGCTCTCTCTCGCTTTCTCTCTCAGGATTGAACTCAGGGACTCACACAGGCTAAGCAGTTTCTCCACCCATGAGCTACATCCCCCATTCCTTTCAGCTTTCATAT